AAACCTTTTCGGCCCCTCTATTTCCGATAAAGCTTTCTGCGATAATACCAAGATCTTCTTGTTCCTCATTATTTTCTACACCTCATTTAAGCCAAGTGGCGTGTTCTTATTCCTATTGAGACTTCACCGTGTTAAAACTTAGCTTTAAATTGGGCGGTAACTGCTTGTGGCCTATTTTCCAAGGGTAAACCTACGAATATCTTTTTACCGTTATAAGATATATCATCGATTAATTCAGTTTAATTTCCTTGATCTTCTCAACACCACATGATCTAAATCCCAAAATGTTCTACTTTGCTCTCCACGTTTGCTTCGACATACGATAACTTCATTGTTTAAATGGGCGTAAAGTAAAGACTCACCATTCACGGTCCCGAGAGCACCCATCCTAACGTAGTCTCGACTGCGACTGGCTGCGTTTTTCTTCCCCTCGTATCGTCTGTTTGCCTTGAAATTCCCATAGAATTTGCTCCGTACCTAAACGTCGACCGTGAGTAACTAAATCTCATCAAAAAGCAGAAAACTCGATATCCGCTAAATGTTCTATATTTACTATAACAATCTCAACATATGGCAATTAGATATTTCTGAAAATCTTTCTCGAAACATACGTTCTACTTTCCACTCTTTTAGCCACCTCTCACAGCCCTCAAAATCCGCTTACAACATCTCGCACGTTTCCTCTATTTGCCGCTTCACTTCCAAGGCTTTAATCCCTAAATTCTTCCTTCCTCACAAACTTGTAGCTTTGGCTCTCATCCACTACGTGGGGTTAACAAAGGTCTTCTGACTCCCACTATCAAAAAGTACGCCCTTAACACTTATCGTTTCCCATAGAACCAGCTAGGGCGGTTTGGCAATGCTGCAGACTACCAGGGCCGTAAACTATTGGTGCACGATGCTACGATAATCTTTGAATCATACAATCTTAACAGCATCAACTGCCCATTTCTAATGCAAACAAAACAACGGACCAGTACTTTCTATAATGCTCTTACGCGTGTCCAGTTATGTTAATTTTATCAGAACAACCGTTCTTCTTCGTCGATTTCTTTGGCAAAGGACGCATCGTTTCTGGCGATCCGCTTCCAAGTGATGCAATGCCGTTGCCGTACCATCGATATATCCTGTCCGCCATCCTCCGTTGGGGCGTAGCCTCTCCGTTCGTGCCCCACTGTCCAAAAATCGGCGCTAATGTACCTTCCCTGACTTCAATTCTTGCTCAACAACTATTCAAAAACATCTCTCACAGACCACTCCAAATGAGTCCTTTGCTGGCATTCTCTTCAGCCATGTTCAAACGAACGGCTGGAGGGATCTTCCAGCACGAACTGGCACAACATAGCTAATGCATATGTCTCTTCGATTGACATGCAGAGCTTCCACCGCGAAGTGGCTTGTCAACGCTGTGTGCAGAGAATTCGCATTACCTGTTAACCCGCCTTTCGTCATACACGCCTGTGATATTGAGCATCTGTTGATTTCATGGCTCTTTTGATCCTGCTCGGTTTCGCAAAGCGTTGATGTAACAGCTCCACCCGCGGCTCTGTAGTTTGCGCTTGTCATTTTGAATCCCGAAATTCCGACTTCGCTCGGCCAACAAGCACTTCTTCAAATATTGAATTTCACCGGCGTCACCGGAAGGTCTCTCATCGTCCACTGTTACTCGTAAACGCATCCAAAACTCAGGCCAATCTTGCTGGCGTTCCGTCAAAAGTTTGACAGCTCCCAGTTTGGGTAACTTTGCTTTGCCTTCCTTGTCGAACTGCCTGCCATAGAATGAGGTGTTTTCACGGGTGCATGCGTGAAGGCGGTGTCCCTTTTCCAAGATTTCTCTTTGATCTCTCAAAAGCACAATCCGAATTCCAATTGCAATCCTCGATTCCTCTTACTTCTTGAATACATTTCGTCCCATCCACCTGGTCACTCAAATTTCCAACACTTCTTCATCCTTTCTTGCAAGACATCTTTTATCCGTCAGGACCCCCTTGTATTCAGAAAAATGGATGAAAAAGTGTTGGAAATTTTGAGTGACCAGAGTGATGGGGACGAATGTATTCAAGAAGTAGAGGAATCTGAGGCAATTGCAATGGAAATATCGGAGGTGCTTTTAGAGATCAAAGAAATCTTGGAAAAGGACACCGCCCTACAGCATGCACCCGTGGAAAACACCTCATTCTCTGGGAGCAGTTCGACAAGGAAGGCAAGAGCAAAGTTACCCAAACTGGAGCTGCAAACTTTTGACGGAACGCCACAAGATTGGCCTGAGTTTTGGGATGCGTTTAGCAGTACAGTGGACGATGATGAGGACCTTCCGGACGCGGTGAAGTTTCAATATTTGAAGAAGTCATTGTTGGAGCCAGCGAAGTCGGTAATTTCGGGATTCAAAATGACAGCGTCAAACTACAGAGCCGCGGTGGAGCTGTTACATCAACGCTTTGCGAAACCGACAGTGATCAAAAGAGCCCATATCAACGAGATGCTCAAAATCAACAGCGTGTATGACGAAAGGCGGGTTGACAGGATGCGATCTCTGCACGACAGCGTTGAAACGCACTTTCGCGGGTTGGAAGCTCTGCATGTCAACGAAGAGACATATGCAAGCATTGTTGTGCCAGTTCTGCTGGAAAAGATCCCCCAGGCCGTTCGTTTGAACATGGTGAGAGCATCCAGCAAAGATCATTTGGAGTGGTCTGTGAGAGATTTTTTGGAAAGTTTGAGCAAGGAAATTGAAGTTAGGGAAGTACAAGCGCCGATTTTTGGAACAGGGGGCACGGAACGGAGAGGCTACGCCCCACGGAGAATGGCGGACAGGATAATCGATGGTACGGCAACGGCATTGCACACTTGGAGAGCGGACAGCCAGAAACGATGCGCCTTTTGCCAAGAAAATCACGAAGAAGAACGTTGTTCTAAAATTACAAACTTGGACACGCGTAAGAGCATTATTAGAAAGTATGGTCGTTGTTTTGTTTGCATTAGGAAAGGGCATAAGGCTGTAGATTGTAGATCAAAGATTATCGTAGCATCGTGCACCAATAGTTTAGGCCCTGGTAGTTCTGCAGCATTGCAAACCGCCCTAGCTGTTGTTAATGGGAACGATAAGGTTAAGGTGCGCGTACTTTTTGATAGTGGGAGTCAGAAGACCTTTGTAACCCCCACTGTAGTGGAGAGAGCCAAGCTACAAGTTGTGAGGAAGGAGAATTTAGGGATTAAAGCCTTTGGAAGTGAGACGGCAAAGAGGAAACTGCGAGATGTTGTAGAGCTGGATTTGAGGGCTGTGAGAGGTGGTAAAAGAGTGAAAGTAGAAGCGTATGTTGTCGAGAAGATTTCAGAAATATCTAATTGCCATGTTGAGATTGTTAAAAGTAAATATAAACATTTAGCGGATATCGAGTTTTCTGATGTTTCTGATGAGATTAGTTTACAGGTCGACGTGTAAGTAGGAGCAAATTTCCTCTGGGAATTTCAAGGCAAACAGACGATACGAGGGGAGAAAAACGAGCCAGTCGCAGTCGAGACTACGTTAGGATGGGTGCTCTCGGGACCGTTGAATGGTGAGTCTTTACTTTACGATTTAAACAATGTTAATGCTACGTATGTCGAAGCAAACTTGGAGAGCAAAGTAGAACAATTTTGGGATTTAGATACAGTCGGTGTTAGAGAAGATAAGGACATTTATACTGAATTTATCGATGATATATCTTATAACGGTAAAAGATATTCCGTAGGTTTACCTTGGAAAATAGGCCACAAGCAGTTACCGCCCAATTTTAATGCTAGTTTTACACGGTTGAAGTCTCAAATAAGGAAACTTAAGAACACGCCCACCTTGCTAAATGAGTGTAATAAAATAATTGAGGAACAAGAAGATCTTGGTATTGTCGAGAAAGTTACGGAATTAGAGGGGGCCGAAAAGGTTTATTACATGCCTAGCCAAGTTGTCGTAAGGGAGAATGCGGAAACCACTAAAGTACGCATGGTTTTCGATGCCTCTTCTAAGGAAGGGAAAAGCGGTACTTCGTTAAACGATTGTTTACATGTTGGACCTAATTTAACACCATTGTTATTTGACATACTTGTTCGGTTTAGAGAGAATAACATCGCACTTGTAGGTGATATCGAGAAGGCATTCTTAAATGTAGGTGCTCATGCTACCGACAGGGATTGTTTGCGTTTTTTATGGGTCGAAAATCCTCATGAAAACGATTTGAAACTTGTTGTTTATCGATTTGCGCGCGTTGTTTTTGGAGTTAATGCATCGCCTTTTTTGTTGAACGCGGTTATTAGGAATCACGTAACTAAGTTTCAAGATATAGACCCGGAATTTGTTAAGAAGATGTTAAATTCTTTCTTCGTTGATGATTTATGTACGGGGGCTAAGACAGTCCAAGAAGCAATTTCGTTGTTTGATAAATCTAAGACTAGGATGCTAGAAGGAGGATTTAATTTACGGAAATGGAAGTCAAATAATGGGGAAGTAAGGGAGTACGTATCACGATGTGAAGGTAAATCGAAAGGTTTAGCAAGTGCCACTGTAAACAGTAATGACGAGGAAACTTATGCGCAGGAAAAGTTAAATATTGTCGATGGACAAGGTAAAACCAAGGTTTTAGGCTTAGTCTGGGAGGAAGAAACGGATAATTTGGAGATTGTTCTGGATAGTATAGGTAGTATAAGAGGGGAGAGGGACTGTGTAACGAAAAGATCAGTTTTAAGCTCGCTAGCTAAGTTGTTTGACCCGTTAGGACTAGTTAGTCCCGTCTCAACGATAGCTAAATCATTTTTCCAGGAATTGTGCGTGGATAAGATAGGATGGGATGAGGAGTTACCTCCAGAAAAAAGGGATAAATGGGAAAGATGGGAAAAGGATTTGAAACAGGTGAAATCTATTTCAGTGCCCAGGGGTATACACCCATATAACGAAGAAACGGGTAAATATTCCTTACACGGGTTTGAAGATGCCAGCGCTAAGGCATATTGTGCTGTAATTTATCTTGTGTGCGAGACAGGAAGCGGAATTTATTCTAGACTTGGTTGTTCTAAAACTCGTATCGCCCCACTCAAGGGTCTCTCAATACCACGCTTGGAACTTATGTCGGCCAGGATTTTAGCAAATTTGATGGAAAACGTTAGAAATGCACTAAGTTTTCAGGTTGAAATAACATCGTTTAAGTATTGGTTGGACAGCGAAACAGCTTTATTTTGGTTAAATAATGCTGGGGAGTGGAAGCAATTCGTTAGACAAAGGGTAAACGAGATTCTAGCTAAGACTGATAAGAATAATTGGGGACATTGCCCAGGGAAAGAGAACCCAGCGGATATAGGAAGTAGGGGGCTGCAAGCAAGTAAATTAAAGAACAACATTACGTGGTGGGAAGGTCCCGCATGGCTTAAACAAGGTATAGATTATTGGCCTAAGAGGAAGTACCTAGAGAGAACGGAAAATGTAGATCTAGAGAGTAAGAAACAGGCTGTAGTACTAAGTGGGGCAGAGGAGAATAAACCTTTTATAGGTTCTGTAGTGGACATAAATAGGTTCAGTAATATGAATAAGTTGCTTCGTACCACGGCACGGATTTTCAGGTTTATAGGAAACGTTAAGGCTAAAGTAGCTGGGAAGGAGATAAACACTAACGAAATAACTGTAGAAGAAATAGAAAGAGCCGAGCAATTATGGATTATGGATGCCCAGTCTACTGTTAGTGAAAAGAATGATGCGTGTTTGTTACGGAATTTGGGAGTATTTAAGGATAATGGTATTTTAAGGTGTAAGGGGAGACTAGAAAATTCGGAGCTCGATCCTGGGACTAAATTTCCTATTTTGATTCCAGGGAACCATCTATTTGCGAACCTTATAGTATTGCATTGTCACGGTATAGTGAAACACCTCAAAGTAAGGCCAACCTTGGCGGAAATAAGAACTAAGTTTTGGATACCGAAGGGTAGGTTATTGGTCAGAAGATTGTTACGTACATGCACAGTATGCAGGCGTTTGGAGGGCAAACCATATTCGCAGCCGATTACGGCAGCCCTGCCAAATTTTAGAGTGCAACAAGCCGAGCCCTTTATCAAAACAGGGGTAGATTTTGCCGGACCCTTGTTTGTAAGAGAAAAGGATGGGAGCATGAATAAAGTGTACATAGCCTTGTTCTCTTGTTGTGTTACGCGTGCGGTCTCTTTAGAGCTCGTCAATGATTTATCTACAGAGTCGTTTTTAAGGTGTTTTCGTAGGTTTGTAGCCAGAAGGGGTTTGCCAAGCCTTGTCATTTCTGATAATGCCAAAACGTTCAAGGCAGCAGCAAAACTTTTGGACAATTTGAACAAAAACCCCACATTTCTAACCTTTCTACAGAACGAGAGACTTATTTGGAAGTTCAATCTAGAAAGGACACCATGGTGGGGTGGGTTTTTCGAAAGAATGGTTGGGACAGTTAAACGGTGTCTGCGCAAAGTTATTGGGAAAGCAACCGCTCATTGATTCTCGAAGTCGAAAGTATCATTAACGCGAGGCCTTTAACTTATGTGTATGAAAAGCTCGATTCGGAGCCATTAACCCCTTCGCACTTAATTTTTGGTAGAAGGTTGGTAACATTGCCAGATAAAGCTAAAGAAATTAATAGTAACGATGCTTCGTATTCTAGAAGGTACAAGTATTTGTTGAAAAACCTGGACCATTTTTGGAACAGATGGCGAACCGAGTACTTAGTAAATTTGCGGGAGCATCACAAGCTTTCAGGTAAAGGTACGGCCAAAATTAGAGTTGGAGATACCGTAGTGGTACACGAGGAAAATGTGAAAAGATCGCTTTGGAAACTTGGGAGAATAGACAAGTTCATCATGGGGAGAGATGGACATATCAGAGGGGCAAAGGTATGCGTAATTTCACGTAACAAACCAGATTTTATTTCTAGGCCTTTGCAAAAATTGTACCCTATAGAATGGAGACAAGGAGATATACATGGCGACAAGGAAAGTGTGAAAAGTTCGGTTCAAGAAAGTGAAAGGTTGAAAAGCGATAAGGGTGTGGAGCATGAGATTGAGAAGGGTGTGGTGAAGGTACGGAGAGCAGCGGCGCAGGATTCAGAGTGGCGCACACGTCTTATGCTTGACTCGAGCGAGTCAAGGAGGGGAGATGTGTTGGGGCCCAGACCTTCCTTGGTATCCTAAGACCCCACACAGTTATTGTTATTACATTCGGTAGTGTAATACGTGCCGAGATACACGGTGGCATGTAGAGTTTTAATTATAATGTTGATTTTATATTTGATTTAAAGCAGTAGTAAATAACATGTCTTGAATCTCAATACCTAATAAGGACAAACGTATGGAAAATATCAATCGACAAGTCTCAGTGAACGTGATTATCTAAGTTGAAACTCGTAATAAGTTAGTTAGTTGGTTGGAGTAGAGTTGAAGTAATGATGGTGATCGGCGAAAATGTGAAACAGAATATTGATGGATTTGATACAAAATAGTTACACAAAATGGTGATATTTCTCTGAGTCTTCATCTTACACTTCGTTTATCATTAAATATTAAGATAGGGGCACCGCTAGAAATAGTGGTCCCAACACATACTATTTGAATGATAGCAGTTTCCTTACGTTGTCAGCAATTCAAAATATCTCCAAACACTCCTCCAGCCATGAATGTGGGGCCATGTCGTAGGTATTTTTGTAGTCAACCCACGCCATGGCAACGTTTTTCTGCCTTTGCTTCACTTCATTCATCAGCATTTTATCAATAAACAGCTGGTCGTGCGTTCCCCTTGACTTCTTCCGGCAGCCCTTCTGCTCATGTGGCAACAGGTCCCTACTTTCTAAGAAGCTATACATGTCATCGACGATAATCCCAGTTAGCAATCTCCAAACTAATGGGAGGCATGTAATTGCAGTGGCGAAGCCAAAGGTCCTGCTTGTCCTGCCGGGCAGGACCACGAATTTCCAAAGAGAACAATTTTTAAAATGTTAAAAATTGATTCACTTTATGAAATCATTATATGCCTGATTCAAAGGCATTTCTTGTCTTATTCTACAATTATACTTCGTGGCTGTGCCCTTTTTCAATTTTGAGACACAGGGTGACTGAAATGGAATTTCGAGTATCCCGTTCGTAAATTGATATCGTCAAAAATTTAGCCCTGTGGTCAGTCCTGCCCAATACTCGTAGGCAGGACTAAACCCTATGTTTGGTCCTGCCCAACAATGGGCAAACGCCTCGTAGCCCTGTTTTTGGTCCTGCCTCACAATAGAAGAAAACAATGGCACTCCTGCCCTTCAGAAATGGCAGGACCTCAGGTCCTGCTCTTTCATGAAGGCAGGACCTAGATTTTTGGAGCCCTATGTTTCGTTATAATTTGTTGATTTTCTGCGCCGTGGTCAAAGGCCACAAAGAATTTTCACTCAGGCCATAGTCAGATCAGTTACTCAGGCCTAAACTATTTTGATATCATGGATAAAACTAACTGTAACGAAGACATCATGATTCTGCTGCTGAAGAAGTTTTTGCTGCTAGAAGCTTCGGCCCTACACTGTCGTCAATTGATTTATACAAGAATTGATCGTTTCAAGACGAGTGGTACTTACGGAAATCAAATTGTTTAGGGTCGTTCTGTTGGTCCTATTTACTGTTAAAGTCGGGAATATCACAGACATCGCGAGAAACCTGATACGCATATAGTTTTCTCTCAGACTGCAGAGAGCAAAGGAAGTCATACTCAAAGGCCTATTTTAAAAAGTAGAAAAAGTTTGCCGCCGCTGCCGAAAGAGAAACTTCTTTTTTCGTACCAGGAAAATCGAGATCGAGGGGAGATGGAGTGTTCATGACAGAAAAAGGGCTTGCTTAAATTTAATTTCAGTAGTTCGTCCTCCTGCCTTAAACAGGAACTACCATACAATTCAGAGGTCCCAATGAAAAGGACGCTTTGAAAAGGATGAAAATGAAAACAATGGTAATTACTGGGAGCTTTTGTACTCGGTGACTCAGATGGTATTGTACTGGCAAAATGTCAGGGGTCTCCTCTGATATTCACAACAAATTGATTCAAGACCCTATCTACCGTTTATCAGACATATGTTGTGACAAAATATTTTTACTTTTTTAAATAATTTGAATCAATTATGTTTCCAGTATGTATTACAACTGTATATGCCTATCTGTACAAGCAATTTTTTTTTAGTCCATGATTTCAAAATTTTCAATCAATGATAACATTTTCAAATGTAACTTATTTTAGAAAGAATTTTTGTGATGCTCTTTTGACTTCTTCAATGTAAGGCAGGAAGAACTTGAAAGGATCTGAACCAAAAGAGCTGTGCGCCCTTTTGTCATCCAGATCGGTACATCTCCATCACTTAAGCACCTATTCAGCTGTTCCACGATTCTATGATGCAGGACTGTAAATTTCTTTAGCCAGAATCCCTGAACCAAATCAGGGCCTGTTGCTTTCCAGTTGGGAAATTTCTGCAATATCTTCTTCAGTTGTGTGTCTGTTATTTTCATATTCTCTTGACTGTTGACTTCTACCTCCTGTTTAATCTTATCAATCCATTCAGCTGATGTGTTATGTTTGGCCTCCTTGCTCCAGATAACTAATACTATTATTATTATTATTATTATTATTATTACCTGAGCTCAGCCTATTCTTCTATCATGTTTGTTAATCTTTCTATCAGTTCCCTAGGTATCTTTGGTCTCTCTTGCTCCTCTTTCATCGACATGTGCAACGCTCTAGATATCAGCGAGAATCATCTCCGCTTCATGATCTCCAAACTATCCAACTTAACTATCCGTACTACCTATTACATTTTCTGCCGCAGAAATAAATCTTGGAATAATCCTGAACTTCTTCAATTCTAACGATCTCTGCTACTGACGACTTCTAAAACAAACAATGACGAACACACTTTTTCCTTTTTTTTGTTAATTTCTTTTGTTTGTGCTTGTAATAGTCTTTTTCTTTGTAAACCCAGGCTAGCCAATTACAAATTACCTTTGTAATAGTGAAATTTGTAATTGTAGTTTTAATTGAATTGAAAATGAAAAGTTTCCATTTTTATTTTCTCTGCTACTGACGACTTCTAAAACAAACAATGACGAACACACTTTTTCCTTTTTTTTGTTGATTTCTTTTGTTTGTGCTTGTAATAGTCTTTTTCTTTGTAAACCCAGGCTAGCCAATTGCAAATTACCTTTGTAATAGTGAAATTTGTAACTGTAGTTTTAATTGAATTGAAAATGAAAAGTTTCCATTTTTATTTTCTCTACTACTGACGACTTCTAAAACAAACAATGACGAGACGAACACACTTTTTCCTTTTTTTTGTTAATTTCTTTTGTTTGTGCTTGTAATAGTCTTTTTCTTTGTAAACCCAGGCTAGCCAATTGCAAATTACCTTTGTAATAGTGAAATTTGTAATTGTAGTTTTAATTGAATTGAAAATGAAAAGTTTCCATGTTTACTGTTTAATCAATACATCCTTTCAAAGCTCTCTTGGGATCTCACAGTTGCTAATCTCTCCAAAACGTGGGTTTGCGAAAACTTAGATCAGCTTGTCACAAAATTCGTTCAACAGTGGCTCGAGCTTCCAATATCTTCGACATTGAGTGGCATAGTTCTTTCTCGTAAACACTTTGGTCTTGAGCTTCTGCTTCCTTCCGTAAAGTTTCAACAGTGCCAGATTGTTCTTCGAAACTCACTCAAATCTTCGCCCAACGAAAAACATCAAATCCCTATGGATGAACACTTATGGACCTAATATACAGTTCGACGCATACAAGAACACTAAGGCGGCACTGAAATGTGTAAGGGATGAACACACTGAAAAGCTCAAAACTCAGTTAACATCTCAAGGCTTCATCATTTCATTCCTGCTTGAGCATTCCTATACAAAGTTAACCTCACTCTGGTCTGCAGCTCAAAGTAAACTTCCAAAAAACATCTTCAATTTTACGATAAGGTATCTCAACAACACACTAGCCACAAGGAACAACCTCTGCTTATGGGAAATTAGCTCTTCTCCAGATTGCTCATTCTGCCTTCAGCCCGAATCACTTCTTCATGTCGTAGCTGGATGTAACAAATACCTTGAGCAAGGGCGTTTTACTTGGAGGCACGACTCTGCCCTGCACTTCATTGCATCGTCATCTCAATGTATCCGAGATGTATTCATATATGCTGACATTCCCGTTTATTTATCACCATGTATCATAACTGGCGATTCGCTCCGTCCCGACATGCTAATCAAAACTGCTTCTAACTGTCTGTATGTCATCGAATTAACTGTTGGGTTCGAGACTAACCTGGACAATAACGCTTCGCGTAAAGCTGAGAAGCACCGTTCCCTTCTAAAGGAACTACGCCCTAAGTTAAAAAAAGTAAACTTTGTTAATCTATCTATCAGCTGTCTCGGTATCTTTGGTAACTCCTGTGATTCTTTCATCGATATGTGTGATGAACTAAAACTTGACTACCAACACCGTAATTTTATAATTAAAAAACTGTCAGCAATAATTATACGCACATCCTATTATATATTCTGTATGCGCAATAAGACTTGGACAAACCCTGAACTGCTCTCCTTCTAAAGATTCTTTGCACTCATATGATTTTATTTAAATGTTATAACTTTTAGGCTAGCCGATAGTAACTACCTGTAAAGTGAGGTTACTGTTGTAAGTAGAAGAATATAAAATAAAAAATGTTCTCATTACTATAATTATTAGGATTAGAGCATACTGCCATGATGGCTCAGGTCATAAACAAAGCTGGTATCAAGCAACGTTCACTAGTTGTCACTCTTCTCGATCTTAAAAATGCATTTGGAGAAGTACATCATAATTTGATACCCACTGTACTATCTTACCATCATATCCCTGACAACATACAACTTCTTATCTCTAGCCTTTACACCGATTTTAAAACCTCTCTCATCACAAGCCACTATAATACTCCTGCTATTCCAGTCCGTCGTGGTGTTCTTCAAGGCGACTGCCTCAGTCCTCTACTATTTAATCTATGCTTCAACACATTCATACAGTACATAAAAGCTGAAAAATACAAACAGTTAGGTTTCTCCCCACATGATCAGAACGACCGTATGTTTCAACCAGTCCATTGGTTTCAATTCGCAGACGATGCTGCTGTTATCACCAGCAATGAGAAAGAAAACCAACTTCTACTAAATTGTTTCACTCGCTGGTGCCAATGGGCTAACATGATCATACGTGTCGATAAATGCATCACTTTTGGAATAAAGAAATTTTCCACACGTTCTCTTCAGTATCAACCTAAGCTTTTCATAAACAACGAATCTATCCCACCTGTCTCGAATGGAAATTCTTTTAAGTACCTCGGTCGTCATTTTTACTTTGAAATGATAAACCAAGAACATAAATCTGATCTTTTATCATCACTGTCCAACATGCTCAAACAAATTGATTCCCAGCCTCTACATGCAAAAAATAAGTTGCTTCTTTATCACAACTTTGTTCTTTCTAAAATCTCTTGGAACCTTACTGTAGCGGATCTTTCAAAGACGTGGGTTGTCGAGAATCTTGACAACCTCGTATCCAAATACATCCGCCAGTGGCTCGACCTCCCAGTAAGTGCTACCTTGAGTAGCATTATTCTTTCTAAAAACCAGTTTGGACTCAGCCTAACTTTACCATAAACCCAGAGGCGGATCCAGCGGAAAATCTGAGGGGTGCTTAAGGGCGTTGCCTTAATAGCCATAATAATGCCACACCCCACTTTTACTTACGGTTAAATGAAGGCAACACCCTTGAAAAAATTAATCTTTTTTAAATTCAGGTATTAAAGCATAACTATATAGAAAATTATATCTTTTGTTAGAAGCCTATATGCTAGCAATGCTAGTTAAAAATAACACTGCTACCTTCGCAGTTTGTACATCACATTAATCAATGAATGACATTTTAGGTCGTTAGTCAATATTTGATTGCTCTGCAATATTCAGACGCTGGTTCATTTTTGTAAAAAGGCAGCTAAAATGTTTCAAACAAAAAAAAACAAAAAGAATCAGAAAGAAAACAAATTGCTACGTTAACTGACCATTACTATACGAAAATTGAGTTAAATATCATTGAGTCATGATAAAATGGATTGGGTATACCCTAAGTGCCAGAATCCGCTGAGTCATGATTTTCATGAATTCATGCTATTGGTTGACCTTGAACTGGTCACTTGAACTCACCTCGTACTGATTGACAAAACAATTTCCATCAATAGCAAGTTGTCAACAACGGATGCAAGTATCACATGAAACAGCAGCGATCACGCCGAATCCAAATGACCCCCTATAGAGAAGGCCTATTTACCATGATTCAATGTCTTTATATCAATACTTGTAAGAATTTGTTGATAAAAATTGATTGTTTTACTAAGTACCTTGTGTTGAAGTAGTACGTTTTTGGGGTCATCTGCATTTGACAAGAAATGGGTATCGAATTCATTCTGGTAGTAATTACCATACCACCCCAACAACCAAAAATCCTTGGCACAATTTTTTTGGGGGTGCGCATTTTTCTCTGTAAAATTCGATATTTTTGTCGAATTAATCCAAGAAATATTCTGTTAAAACGTTTTGCATTTAGAGTCTGGTAAAAGAAACTACCAACCAGAAAGGCTGAAGGTCAGAACTTCCACGGGACAGTACTTGAACCTTTGGCATTTGCAGTTCAGCGAACTCATCGATCTGTGTATTCCCACAAGTCACGACACCATCCACCACGCTCTTATCAAAAACTTTTCTCACGATTGACTGAATACTCAAAAGCTCGTTTTCCGTTTCAATTTCTTCAGTCGTCTGGCAACCAATTACCGAGAACACCTGCAACAGCAACGATTTTATGTCCGCCATTGCTGCTACACGAACAGGTTTAGTCGTTTCAGTGACGGTATGCACCAGTGTATATTGAATGATTGATAGGGGTGCTCAGATGAGCCGAAATTTGGCAAACGGATTGGTCGAAGCCTTGTTTTGATTGATAGGGGTGCTCGACATTGCGGAAAAACATATCAGAGCGTGATGTGATTGGCTCAGTTGCAACTTTGACCTTAGAGGTTGATTGATAGGGGTGCTCAAGCACCCGTAGAATTGAAGTAGCTCATTGGCCGAGAGTGTGGTTTGATGGACAAGTAAAAAAATTGGTTCCAGGGCAGCTCAACATAAAATTTCTAGCTATTTGTAGTTTAAAGCAGATACAGGTTATGCTAACTAACGCATGACCGTATGTCATCAGTTTACTGGAAAATGCATTTACATCATCTAAAAGGATTCAAGACGTTTTTCAGAGATTAGAGAAAATGCATTGAATGTTATATCTCCGAAAATTCTGACCGGTGCTCAAGCACCCATAGCACCCCCCTAGATCCGCCTCTGATAAACCAAATTCCTACAGTGTCAAACAGTTTTACGCAACGCATTGAAATCTTCACCAAACGATAACATTCGCTCTTTATGGAAAAATACCAGCAGTAGCACAAATATACAATATGATATATATAGGAACACGAAAGAAGCATTAAAGGCTGTCCAGCAAGAACATAAAGATCGTCTGCAAAACATTATAACTTCCCAAGGATCTTTATTGTCACATCTTTTTAACCAGGATCTTCCACAAATAAAATTTCACCATAAGGTACCTGAACAATACCCTTGCTACACAGAAAAACTTGAAAAAGTGGAGCTTGAGCCAGATTTCTGACTGTTCTTTCTGTTTTCTGCCAGAAACCCTCCTTCACGTTGTTGCTGGCTGCAAAACGTATCTGGAACAAGGCCGATACACCTGGAGACATAACTCTATCCTAAACTTTCTAGCTACGTCACTAAAAGCTGTCAATGAATCTACCATCTACGCTGATATACCTGGTTTTCTTTCACCATCAACAGGGGCGAAAATACCGGGGCGGTGTGGGGGGGTGTCACACCCCCCAATCCAAAAAATAGGCGATTTCGCAGGGCAATCGAAGATTTCACAAGGCGCCAAGAAGAGCTTTATTGCCACGCAGAAACGCCACCTCTGAAGTTCATAAAGGGCCGTTTAGGAATTTCGAAATGGAAATATCGTATTTTTCATGAACCTCCCTTCCTGACATTGCATTTTAGAGAACTGAACAGGTATGTAAGGAAATGCTCCGTTATTTGCAAAGCGAAAGCATTTCTTGGATGCATATGTTTATGAGGGCAAGATTGAGTCCATGCAAATTAATTTAAGTTGTAAATTAATTTCATGACAGGTACGGCGCCACTGGGGGGAATAGAGAGCTGAAAGCCCCCACTTTGGCCAAGAAAAGAATTTTTTATCATTTTATATATTACTTTTTAACAGTGCATGAACTAAAAAACATAATAAATCGTTGAGATACCAATTTTGTTTCATCTAATTGCTTACTTTTTTACGTATATTTTTATCATTTTTCTTTTATTTGGATTAATCCAGTAAATCATTTTCTGTATCATTGCAATGTTTTAATTTTGGATGTGTAAACATGGCCTTCTCGATACAAGAAACTGCACATTTCTGTTCAGGAAAAAAAATTCCCCAAATCAAAACAACATCTTCCTCTGTCATTCACAACTATGTGCAATCTGAAACGAAAGGTTACCGTTTCTTTCCTTCCCCAATGTTTAATACTAGAGTTTTAGCATGATATTCCCTCTCCCTATTTTTCCCAATAAACAATAATATTTTCAATAAACAATCTTTATATTCAATAAACGTTCTTTTAGCACAA